AGCATCGAGCCACAAGAGAAGCATCAGATGACCCTCAGGTGGGCACCTGCTCAGTCACTCTGGGACTTCCAAAAGTGTGGTGAGATAAAGGAAGACAACAGGGGTCAGGAGGTTGGTGAGTGCACTGGACAGAGCTGGTACTATGGTGTGACACTTTGCAAGTCACAGCCCCCCTGCGATTCAGCTTCCCCATCTGAGCAGAAGCCACATCTGCACATCTACTAATGAAAAAACCCTGAATAGAAGCTGTTCATTAGGCCATTCCCCTTCTCAGAGCACATTAGGCAAACCATAACATGATTTACTTCAGAAACAAGTGCTCTGACTTAAGAGTCCTGGTTAGGTTTGATGTTTATGAAGTTACAATTTCTGCAGCTGCCTCTGAGAAAGGCAAATGCCTGGCGAGTGAACCAGCACACGGCACAGGTCCTGCTCACACTCCCTGACCTCACCTCTGGGCCATCCTCCTGCCAATCAGCACTGTACCTCAGTATTCCCAAAGGAAACTCTGAAACAGAGGGAATGGATGCACACAGAGGAAAGGTTATCAAAATGTGCCCCTGAGACCCTGTCATTCTTAAGCATCTTTTGAAAGGTAACATATTTTCACTCACTGGCTTCCAAAAAAACAAATAAAAAAAATCAATAGCTGTTTTTTAAATTGGAAAGAGCCAATATAAACTGTGGATAACTGAGGCATGCTCTGACCTCTAAGAATAACAACAGCACAAGGGCAGAAACAGGCTGCTGCCTATACTCCATTATGCCAAGATCAGCATTTTGGTGCTAGTCTGTAGAAAAGCAACCAGTCATTTTTTTAGTCTGCCACCTCTAAACAGCGTTCACATTGATATTCTATGTAATTCTGGGTGGTTTGATTTGTCTTGTGGTCCCAAGGCATCATCCCCGGACTTCTAATGCTCAGACTGAATTTCTGGAAAAATCTTAAAAGCCAAGGTTTTGCAGCATGTGAGCCTCCCTGAGGAAATGGTATGTCACCAGAAAGTGGCTGGATCACATTTCTCTGGGACACCTTAGCCAGGCAGGACTGAGGATAAAACCCTACAGACATCAAGCATCACCAGTCACCAACACAAACCAGAAGTCCTCAAGGAGGCTGAGTTTTGGAGTGGCTTCTCAAGGGGCTACTGATATTCATTTGTCTTACTTTTTCTAACACTTCCTTGCTACTGCAGTCAAAGCCATTACAAAAAGCACATGAAAATATGAGTGGTTTCTTCCTCTGCCCCTATTAGTTCAGTTCACTGTCTTCCATATCTAGCCTGACAATACCTGTCTACCTCACCTGGTGGAAGCTGTATAGCACTTGCTCTCCAGAGGGGAAAAAGGCAGGGCTTTCCAAATATTTTCTAATTATTTTTTTTTAAAGCACATATGGAACATGTCAAGCACATGTGAACCTTGATCTGACATGCACCACAGCACCCACAACATCAGAGATGCACACCCGAACTCCTGATCTTTCTCCTGATTTTAAAAGCTACTGTGCTTCCCTCAGCTTTGTGCAAAACCCCACGAGCACAAAAATGACCAAGATTCACACCCAGCAGGAAGTGTGAGCGTGCTGCCAACCCCTTGCTTTGATTCCTCCACTGGCTTTCCTGAAAAGCATCACAAGGTAAGGAGACAGTTAATGGTGTTACATGTTCTCTCAGTGCTCATTAGCCAGACACCTGTGACTGAGCCATGCTGAGACCACAGAGCAAGAACACAGATGGACAATTACACATTTTTAAAATTGCTCTCTGTGCCAGCTGTAAATCTTGAGACTTGTGGGAGTAAATTCCCTGCCCTTTTTACCTATTCCCCTTGAAATACATTATCAGCCTCAGGATTTTCCCCACTCCTGTTCAATGCCTGCCAAGAGGAAGCAGCAATATTGCTCAGACAGCTACCTTAACTGTCTTTAAAGCAAAGCAATAAAATAGGTGGCAGTCTCCCAAACTCCTTGGCTTACACACCCTTTGTTTGCCAACTCTGTCATATCTGGTCAGTCTTAGCTGTCATGTAAGGAGCAGAGAGGACATCACAGCCACTGATAAGGAAATCAGAGGCTGAACAAGGACAATGGAAAGCTCAGGCTGTTCTCAGATGTCTGATCTGCTTCTCCTGTAGCCCTTTCCACCCTTCCTGCTCTCTCCTAAAAAGGGTCTGGATCCAGGGGCTGAGGCTCTGGAAGAGGACAGCAGATCTGGAGTTAAAAAGTGTGCAGTCTAGGACACAGCTGTCCATTCACCAAGCACAGATGTGAGCCAGATTAAAAAAGGAAAACCAATCCTGCAGTGGTGAGAGGCAGCCCCGAGAAATGCCAAAGCAGCAGCACTGTACAACTGCAGAGAACTGAATTATAACCTCACCTCCACTCTGAGGTCAGCACTTCTTGCTGCAAGGGGATAAATCAGTCCTTCACCAGCTCTGCACAGCTCTGCTGAGGAGCTTACCAAGGTGAAGAGTCCAGCAGCCCAGACAACACCACGGGCTGGGCTCAGAGCTCACCATCCCACTCAGAGAGGCCTCAGTTAAACCTTGATGACTTTGCAGGAACCAAAAAAAGAAGCTCTGGCCATGGCCTGTAGCCCTGCCCACACAGTTCCCATGTCAATGGCATTCTTGTATCCATGCTATTGGTGGAGAAAGGGCTTTCAGTGGCACAGGCCACTGGCCCTCACCTGGTGTCATTAGGGAAAAGTACCAGCAGCTGTGAGAATCCCTTGTGCCCCACCCAGAGCTAACAGTGTAGCCCATTCAGAGAGGCAAGATGTAGCAAACAACAGAAAAGCGTCAGCTTTGAACATCACAAAAATCAGGGGGCAAAAAAATGGAAGGATTTTTTTTTTTTGTTATCAAAGTGCTCAAGAACATAACTTTGTTTTCACTCTGGTAGCAGCAGAAAATGGCCCTCCAGACCTCACTGCAAACCTTCTGTTTGGCTCTTCAACCCACTGATACAATGACCTCTGTAAACAAAACATGCATTGGCCTTGGTGTTTGCAGGATTAGTCTCACTGTCACCCAGGCTCCAGCTTTCGACTATTTCATCAAAAACTGGTAGAAGTTTCTAGTGGTCCCTCTGCAGTTTCCCAAGGTAAATAGTCAGCACTGAGCAGTACAAAGGACACTAGAGAAGCAACTGGTGCAGAAAACTGTGCCTCTTAGTTATAGCTATTAAAAAATTACAGATAAGATACTGTCAAAACCACAAAATCAGCATCTTAGGAAACCTGAACAACTTCTGTTCACAGAAAGCAAACCACTTTTTGAAGGACAGAGAAAGTTTCCCCAACCCTTACAACTAGTATTACCAATAAAAGCAAGAGCTGCACTCCTAAAGCTAATCTGTCACCACCACACAAAGTCTAGAACTCCAAAATCAGACCAACACCTGAGTAATCCTAAGCTCAAATCATAATTATCTGGGGCTTCTTTTCATAGAGACAGGTAAACAAGCAGTTTCAAGGCAGATATTTTTACTAGCTCCCTACTTTAAAGGTTCCCATACTTCACCAAAAAATTTGCACATAAAAAATTCCACAAGTGGAAGCCTCATGTTCTGAAGTAATCCTGCAAGGCAGGCCTTCCTGTAAATCAACCCCCTCTTTTTAAGTGACACTTCTGTGCTCGTGTTAGGCCACAACACTCACCTACAACACCCAGATGGACGTGTCCATGTTTGTCAAACAAACTGATTTCATGCAGCCCCCAGGCCCCAGGAATGCAGCTCTGCCTGTGCCATCTGATGACACGGCAGAACCCAACGAGGCTTTTGCATGACAGCCCTGTGATCCTATAACTTCAGCTGTTCTCACCTGCTAGGACATCACATTTGAATCAGGAAAAAAAACCGGGAAAATCGTGGACAAACAAGCTGGTGGCTAAGGAAGGCAGTCAGAATGCAAAATTTCTGCCTGTAATTCTGCTACACATTTTTATCTGTCCACAGGAAGGGCTTAACCTCGCCTTTGGAGAAAGGATATGACAGACACATTCTTCCTCAAAAGCTGCAGTGGTACAGCTCTTTGCCATTCCATCAGTCAATAAAGGGTATTCCTGCAGCCCGGACTGTGCAGGGAAATCGGGAAGCTCCTACTCATGGCTCTCCTCAGCTCAGGCAGCAAGAGCAGTGGAAGCCACAGCTCTCTGCCTCCTCCTCCAGATTTAGGCAGCGCGGGTGTTATTGTGGGAACTGCTGCCCTCTGGTGTTGCACGAAACAGGCGAAGTTCCTGCCTGACAAAACCAGATTCACTGCTACATATAAAGAAAATGCCCCATGGTAATAACCAGTAGGTCCCAGGGCATTCAGATTTCAGGTGGGTTCACCCAGGCCCCTCAGTTCTGGTCTTATGAATTTATAAAACACCTGCCCCTTCTTTCAGCACAGCCTGAAGGGCCTCTTGCAAGCCAAGCTCAACCTAAAGCTCGATTTTACCCAGCCCACCCCCTTTGCTGCAGCTGTTTCAGAGGTAGAAGCACTCAGCTGTTAAGTCTGTTCAACAAAACACATCTTACTGCCTGCTCTTCCTCATGGATTGTGAACATCACCAGGGAAAGTGCCAGCCAACATCCTGCCCTCAGCACAGGACTTGGACCAGCCCCAAGGAATAAAACATGTTACCCTCATCCCTGCAGGACCAACGTGCTTCCCTCCTTGTCTCAACCTTCACAAAGGCAGTGCCACTGGGAAGCTCTGCCAACCAGTATAAACACTGTCCAGCTGAGGAGGCCTAAGTGAATTCACAGGGCTGTTTTGAGGTTGAGCAAAGACTGGTGTCTGCATATAAGGACACTGTGCAGCTCTGGGGCAGGAAATCCTGGCCTCGTTTTCCTTGAGGTCTGTATTTACTCATGATAAAAAAACAAACCAGTGTAAAGGAAAGAGAAGACCCACTGTTTTTCAGAGCCCAGGTCCAGCCTGCCTGCAGCACAGCAGCTCCCAGCTTGCACTGGGCCCACAGTGGACACATCACATCTGCCAACTTACTTGACTTCCTCACCAGCAAAATCAAACGTTTTGGTGATTGTCACTTTTCCTGAATCTTTTGGCTTGTCCTGAAGCTTATTGCCACTCTTCTCTTCTTCAGCCTACAAAACAAAAGGAGAAAGTAAAATAATGTGTTTGTGGAGCCAAGCAAAATTCCCATTCCATGGGGCTGAGGACCCAAGCCAGACCTCAGGTAGCACTGCAGTTTAGGCTGGGGGTCAAAGCAAGTCACCCACAGACAAGAAAAAGGACATAAATGCCCCTTCCACAGAATGAAATTCCCCATTTTGGTTCCAGGCTGTCATTGGAGTTCTAGGATCAAAACAGACCCAAAATAAGAAGTGAAATTGTGATAAATGGAGGAAGGAGCACTTTGCAGTGGTTCAGAAAGCAAGCAAAAAAAGACTCACTTCTTCCAAACTTAGCACCACCAGGCAGTAAAGCTGCCAGGGTGAATTCCACAAAAATATGATTATTTCTTCTCAAGAATAAAAGAAGAACACAACCCATCAGCAGGAAAAGCAAGGCTGATCTTCACACTTGTCAATAACGTCTCTTTAATTTGAGAAAGAAAAATCTTTATTAAGCAACTTGTCAACAATGCCTATTAATTTACTCAGTCACAGCTACAGCTTCTAAAAAAAAAATAAAAAAACCTCAGACCCCATAAATAATCAAAACAAACCCCCCAAATTCTTGCTCTAAATCAACCACACACCATAGAGATCTTCAAGCAGACAATGCAAGTCCAAGTTAAGAAGTTCACAAAGAAAACAGAGAAACTGCATCTCTCCATGAATTACTCCAGGCTATGGAGGAACTTTCAAAGACCACTCACGTTTTAGCAGCCTGCCCATAAAAGTAGAATTGCTCAGAGGAAAATAAATCACTCTGTCCTTCTCTCTGATTCTACCTGTAACCACCCCAGCTGCTCAGCCACTGACAAGGGAGACACAGGAGGGCTCAGATGAAAGGACTCTTCTTCCAAAAGTTGCAACCAAAGATACACAACTACACTTGCCCTGCAACCTTCCAACAGTCACAGAAAGAAGCTTCACACAGTCAGAACTGTACTTGCCAGGCACAACACTTTTTTGGCAACCCCAACTGACAATTCTAGCAACAGAGGGTCAGTGTTGGTGCCTTCTTCCCTTCCACCACCTTCAGCGTGAAAGGCTTTGCAAGGCAAACACGTCCTTTTGGTTTCACTGGGAACCAAATCCTTCTGAATAGCTGATCACACAGAGAATTCTCTCCCCAGAAAAACCTCTGCAGACCAAGAGCACCTTACTGGGGCTTATGGGGGAAGTGAGAGAAAGCCAGACTCAGTGTTGTAGCAAACATGCACCCCAACATGCAGCACCTTCCTGACCCCCCTGCTGTACGAGGATGAATGGCAAGGCAGAGATGCCAGCACAGGCCCCTTCTGTTTCCCCACTCACACACACACACAGAGCCTGCCTTTTTCTTTCCCTTCTGAGCATCAGGAAAGGCACAAGCCCCTGGGAGAGCTGTACCCACAAGCACAGCACAGACCAAAGCTCATGGTGCTGTTCCCGTGTCACAAGGAGAATCCAGGACCAGGAAGAAAAGCCAACAGAGCTCCGTGGGACCCTCTGAGATGCTGGCAAGCAGCTCCCAAAGCAGCACTGCCAGATCACAGACCTCCTCAGTCTGGCCCATCATGGGGCTCCAGTCCTACAAAGCAGAGGGGCAGGGGCAAACCCAGCCTGTTCCCAGCTCTGCCTGACATCTGGTACCAGCCAGAGCCAACTCTGTGCTCTGAACCTCCAGGCCCTGTCCACACTCCCAGCCCCTCTTACCTTCTTGGCTTGTGTCCCTTGCGTGGCAGCCCCTGCTTTGGGTTTCTGTCCTACGTCACTGAGGAAACTGGCCCAAAGAGCATCCTCTTTCTTTTTTTCTTCTTCTTCTCTGCTTCTTTCCACCTGCTCTACATTATCCACTTCCTCCTCTCCATTCTGCTGAGCCTTTTCTTCCTCTTTCTCCTCTGGCTCTAGCAAGAGACCTCCTTTCTTCCTCTTCCTGAAAGCAGACACCAAAAAAAAAAAAATACTGAAGTGCTGCAACACTATTCCAGAGCTGAACTCTAATCTTGAGTGAACCAACATGGTATTTCACATTCCCACTAAGATATTCAATGTGGGAAGTCCCCTCTAACCTGGAGGGTGAAGGTATCTAATTAAAAGATGTTGCTGCTTAGAAAACAGAGTGAGACTGATGCAGGCAGTGCCCCTGAAGTGAACTGGCACATGTGTGGGTGTGTCTGTGGGCACACGATGTGGGGAGGCCCTGGCACAGGTTGCCCAGAGAAGCTGTGGCTGTCTCTGGATCCCTGGAAGTGTCCAAGGCCAGGCTGGACAGGGTTTGGAGCAATCTGGGCTAGGGGAAGGTGTCCCTGCCCGTGGCAGGGAGTGGAACGAGATGGGCTTTAACGTCCCTTCCAACTCAAACCATCCCAGGGTTCTGTGGTTCTGGGATACTGGAGGAACCAGGAGGGAGGAGGACTTGGGCTGGACTGAAACCAACCTCAAATAACGTTTATCTACGTGGGGTTTTCTCCCATTGACGGGTGCTTTGCACTTAAAAAGGCTTATGAAAGGGGAAGCAGCTATTGCCGGGGAGGGTTTTCAGGCACGGTCTGTCAGGCCTGAGGCTGCTCCTGAC